TTCACAATTGCAAAGATTTGGAAACAACCCAAGTGTCCATCAATACATGAGTGGATTAATAAAATGTGGTATATGTATACCATGGAGTACTACTCAACCATAAAAAACAATGGTGAACTACCACCTCTTATATTATCCTGGATGGAGCTACAGCCCATTCTTTGAAGTAAAGTATCACAAGAATGGAAAAACAAGCACCACAAGTACTCACCATCAAATTGGTACTAACTGATCAACACTCAGGTGCTCATGTGGAAGTAATATTCATCGAGTGCCAGGCAGGTGGGGGGGGGCGTGAAGGGGATGGGTAAGTTCATAACTCGTGGGATTGGAGTGCACTGTCTGGGGGATGGGCACGCTTGTAGCTCTCGCTTGGGCAATGCAAAGGCAATATATGTAACCAAAATGTTTGTACCCCTATAATATTCTGAAGTTTAAAAAAAGAAAATAAATAAATAAATTGGAAAAAAAAGAAAATTTACATGATCTCACTTCTAAATGGAATCTTAAAAAAAAAGTCAAATATACAGAAATAGAGAATAAAACTGCTATTATGGGGGGCAGAGGAGAAAACAGGGAGACATAAGTCAAAAGATATAAAATAGCAGATATGTAGGATGAACAAATCTAGAGATCTAATGTACAACATGAGGACTAATAAAATTGTATTGCACTTAGAATTTTTGTTAAATAAGAAGCTCTTAGCTGCTCTTGTCACAAAAAAGTAATTATGTGAGATGATAAATATCTTAATTTGCTGCTCTATAGTTACTATTTTACTGTCTATACGTATCCCATAGCATCATGTTGTAAACCTCAAATATGCACAATTGATATTAATGAATTATTTTCATTAGGCTGTTGCCTGGTACACTCTTATTCACTGGAAGCAAGCATGGGAGAAATTAGAGACTGACATTGAATTTGACAGATCTTCAATAGTAACTCCAAAATTCCGAAGGCACATGTTTCGGTGGGCAGCATCTACGACTACAGTAACTACAGAAACAGAAGATCAACCTAAGAAAGGTACCTCAAAATATCAGCTGGAACAAGATCAAGTTTTTCTTGAGAGGTAAAGCTTGTTTTGTTTGGTTGGTTTTTTACTGAGTCCTTCTCACAATTAGTAACTGAGCACGTGGGAATGACTGGATGGCAAATAAATATGTGATGAATAAATACATCAGTAGTGATTTTTAAAAACTACTATTTGGAATAGGACTCATATGAAAAGCATAAACACATAGAGTGAACAGGCATCTACTCGTGGGACAGTGAAGGCTGCCGATCGTGACTAGGTAATATTGAGACGTTTCACTGGCACTGCTGTTGGAGGCAAGGCTTCCGCAGAGGGGTGAGGAGGTGAAGTTATCCCCACGTCTGTAGCAGTGCTAAGGTGGAGGGAGGGGTGCATCATCTAGACATTCATCGTGGGTCAAGAGCTGGCTGTCTACAGAGGTGCAGAACATGTTACTCATTTGTAGGCAAGTGCTTCTGAAGTTATAATAAAAGTTCTGCCCGTAAGGTCTAGAAAAGCTACATTCTCTTGTTCTTGAAACACGCTTTCACTCGAATGGTGCCTTCAGCACTAATGCCACTGCATGAAATGTCTTTTGAGTTCAGTTTGGTCCTTTTTTTCTTTTACAGAGAAAAGGAAATTCCACCAACCCTTTCCCCCAATTGCAGCCCTTGGTGTCAGAGTCCCTTCGTCCCTACACATCCCCACAGCCCTCTGATTGAACCGTACGATACAGGCACAGCTGGAAGCAGGTTGAGTAGACAGCCCCGGTCTCAGTCAACCAGACCTGATCGAGCCCCAGGTAGGTCAAGAGGATACTTATTCCAGTGGAGAGTAAGGAGTGTGTGTGTGTGTGTGTGTGTGTGTGTGTGCGCGTGTGTGTTAACAACTAGTGAAAAGGGATTGATTAACTGATAAAATTTGCTAAATATTAAAAAAATTCCTATTCTCAAGAATAGATGGCTCTTTAAGCAAGTATTGTAAACCATTCACTTACATTTGCTCTAGCACGTATCTTCCACAGTTAGTTCTTGATAAATATCTGTCAAATGAATCAAAAGAACAATGTGGCCAGCAGGAGTATATATGATTCTCGAAGTTCATTGAAAAGTACATTTTGTTTTATCATCAGGCAGGAAAAATTGATCTTACTAGTCACATTGTGCTAAAAAAATATCCATCTTTTCCAAACGCTCTCTAATAATTATCCCAAATTCTTCTTATTCCTTCCCTCCTTGCCTGTAATCTTTAAGACACCGCAGCAGAATCACAGGATTCTCCATAAAACAGCATGAAAACCACTGTGTTGCTATGTTAGCACGTCCTGGGGAAATAGCACTCAAAAATAGTGTCTTTCAGAAATGGAACGATGGAAATTTTATAAATTACTGAATATATTACATTTTCATAAAATTACATACCACATATATCTATGCCTGAGTTTCCTCATCTGGAAAGTAAGAGTTGGGTCTGGAATTTCAAGG